GGATTTGCAAATATTTAAAATCTGGTGAAACAAATCCTTTTCTGCAGTTCTTGAAGCATGCACTTGGACATCATTTGTTGAAAATTTGCATGCACTTAAAGTAGTATTTTCAATAATAATCAGCATACGATTAAAGCAGAACTAAACCCTCCTATCCTTTACAGCCAAGGAAGCTGCCATCTTAGGCTATGATTGATCTGCATTTGACATGGTGCTGCACATGTGATCAGTCAAGGCATTTGATGTCTTGAACAGTGTGGTTGAGAGCGCATGCAACTGTGGCATTTATCATTCATGGCATGCCTTCAATATAAGTCCTTTGAGAAACTGTTAAAGTGATGGGTTTAATTCCGCTTTAATATATTTAACACTAAGGGGTCTGTGTATAAAACGTTCTCTATTGTTTGTAATACAATTGTCTCCTATGATTATCAGCTCCATCTAGCATCTCTAATGCAGTATTTTGTTTTTTAAATAGCACATTATGAACACCAGATGCAGCTAACGAGCTTAGGAGGTAATTATATTACAAATGTAGCACCCACCTAGGTAGGTGATATGATTTGTTTAGTTAGATTAAGCATAGCTGTGTGTTCTCTGCTTAACAGGGAGACTGTTAGGAAAATCTAATTGAGCTCTCTGCTTAACAGTGTTGTGATGGATTATTTAGGTCTGCTCATAATGCTCTGGTGTTGCTGAGTTTGCCTTGAGTTCTGCACGCCTTCAGGAAGCTATGAGAGCCTTCCAGAACCTGGGAGGGAACTAGGCAGATGAGCAGCATAAATATGGATACAGCCCTGGCCAATTGCAGGGGAAGGCAGTCCCATTGCATGCTGGGAGTGGTATTTATGTTCTGTGAGCACATGGGTTCAGTGTCTTTTCCAGGAGAGGATTGAGCAAGCCAGGCTGGAGGCAGGATTGCCTCGACTGGCACTGACTGCCATGTGACCTCAGGTGGGTTGACTTGCGGGCCTGAAGCTAGAGAGCGTGACCCTGGTTCTACAAGTAAGCTGACTGAGGAGGAGACTGTCTGCCAAAGATTGTCTGGTATCACTGGAGGGTTTTGCTTGGAAGATTGGAAGGAGGCAGCCATTGTGTTCTTGGGCCTTGTGAGTAAAGACAAGGAGGAGTTTGGGGACTCTGTGTGCTGGCTACCCCCCTGGTACTTGATAGTCAGTGTAGGTCCGAGAAAAGAGAACTCTGGCTATTGCTCTGAAGAGCTTGTCCAATTGCTGCTACTGCAAAAGGACTTTGCTTAGCTACGTTACCTATGGGCTGTCACAGTCTGTTGTACCTGAGGAGCTCAGCCCTGGGACTTTGCTAACTCCTAAAGCTGCTATAAATTAAAGTCTGCAATCTGCTTCAGCCAAGAGTTCAGTGCTCAACTAAGAGATCAGCTAGATGTCCTCAATGTGAATAGTTCTACTTTTGGAGTATCTTGCTGAATTCCCTATCCCCAGTTCTATAATAAAAATCCAAAAACAAACATGTTCTAGACTGGTCACAGAAGACGAGTGAAAGTGTGTGTCCATGGCTGTAGAAAATACTTGGTGCCTTGCTGTAAGGCGAAGAAAGGGGGAAAAATGGGCAAAAATACAAGCGGCTCTCATGAGGGTCGGGCTACACAATCAATACAGCAGATGTTCATGGTGCCTGTACAAATGCCTTAGGAGATTTGCACAGTGAATGTTTTATACATAAACCCCAAAGACTACAAATTGATACAAGGGTCCTAAGGCTACTATTGAACAGGTGATATTCATTTGGTTTGGTCTACCAATCCAAGTACCATCTACCTTAGCACCTAAGCTTGTATGTTTCCTAGAGAGACACTGTCAATTTAATGTTAATTTCCAATAACACAGCAAGCACAATGAGGATTGAAAATCAAGAAATGGCTATGACATCTTTGTGACATAAAAACATTTCTCTAAGAAGAATGGGTGGAAACAAATTGGATCTGATGTGACTCCCAGAATCGTGATACAACAGAAAACTTGTTATGATAGTGCTCTTTTCTATGAATTATAGCTTGGATACTATTAGGAAGAGATGACATGAGCATGTTTCAAGAGAATTTACATAAACCAAATAAAAATCCTGCACTAAGTGAAAAAAAAAAAATAACAAATAAAGAGACTGCTGCACTGAAATCACAATCTAGATAAATGATGTAAAATATTATATACTCAACAAATCAGTGCACTATCCCTTTAAATAAACATGCATAAATAAATGTGCATGGATGAAAAGAACAGCAACTAATCAGCAATTCATCAATACACAATCAATAAAGTGAACAAATTTCATAAAGTGCAATTTCGTGAAAGATAATAAAAAGTGCAAACATATGAATAAATAAATAAACGTGAAATAAAATTTACACGCGAATGTAGGCTGAGGAAATAAATAAGTACAATAAAAAGTCCAAATTCATGATGAAAATCCAATACATGCAAAAAGTCCCCATAGATGATCAACTCCTAGGTGTGAGGCTCCTTGTTACTGAGAAAAGTGCTGGAGAGGGCCAAACACGTGGCATCATCATGCTCGCTGGCAGGACATTCTGGTGGTGCTTGTCCTTTCTGCTGATGTCTTTACACATTATGTAAGTTGTATTGCTAAATAAAGGAAACAATTTGATGATATTACACTATGCCAGTTCCTTCTGTGTTCTAATCGAGTGCATGTTTCCAGGAGTTGGAAGGTGTTTTTTCCCATGACCAGAGCGTGTAGTGCTGCAGGGCAGCAAGGCACTGAATAATCTCTGTGTTGGATCCATTGTGTTGGTAAGGAGCCTATTAACTCTTTGGAGGAGCGGTCCTTTGGCACTCTTTTCATCGTCTGTTGGGACTTTTCACGTTTGTATTTCCTTCATGACTTTGAACATTTTCTTGTACTTATTTATTTCCTCATCCTACATTTGGCATATAAACTTTGTTTCACATTTATGTATTTATTCATGTTATGATTACACTTTTTATTATCTTTCAAAAAATTGCACTTTAGGAAATTTGTTCACTTTATTGATTTTGTATTGATGAATTGCTGATTAGTTGCAGTTCTTTTCATCCCCGCACGTTTATTTATGCATGTTTAATTTAATGGGACAGTGCACTGATTGGTTGAGTATATAATGTTTTTAAGAGAATACTTGAAAATTGTAGCTGATTTTCTTAAATAAATAAATAAAACCAGACTACATTTTACTATATGGTAGTATTTTGATTTTATTTGTATAGATTAAAGCAATATTAAACACAAAAGCAAACATTTATTATATTGCAGTTTACCAATTCTTAGATATGAAAGCTGCATTAGTTTTCTTTTTTAGGCTTTCTTTCTTCTATTTTCATCTGTTGATCCAGCTAGCAAGTCTGTTATTTTTCAGAAGTTCAAGCTCTCCAGAGAATGTATCAGTTTTTATGGATGAGACCATTCAACACTGGCAGGGGTGATTAAAATGGTCAGCTTTTATTTATTCATGTAAAACCTTTATCCCAAAAGGAAAAAAAATGTTTGCTGTAACTGATTATAAACTGTTAGCTGGAGTTAGGTTTCCATTTGTTACTGTGTTCAAATCTGCTATTACATTTAACACTTCCATCCCCCCTCCCCCAGACTGATAATGGTGCTATCTTCTGTGTCCTGTACTCATTTCTCCGGAGTGGTGTCTCACTAATACATAAGGTGTGGTTACTGGCTGAATCACCAACTGAAATCAGAGGTAAAAAAGCCAAAGAAAAGAAAACTGGTACAGCCACCCCATCTAATGAATGGTAAGCTGCAATATAATACATTTTTGGTTTTAATACTGTTTTAAGGCAGCATTTCCTAAGTGGTTCCTCATGTCCCATTAACATTGCGTGCTTTGTGAATAACCTCACATGTAGTAGATATTGCACTGATGTAATGCTCTAACCATAAAAATTTCAAATATATACCCACTAGGCTCAATCTGCACCCATAAAGCATGTTTTTGGGTTGGAAAAAGAAATCGGACATAATATGATTATGTGATAATGACACATATGAATTTTGTATTTATGGGGCCTGTTTAGAAAAAAAGTTCTGTTAAATTTCTCTTATTAAGTGAGTACAATTCACTTCCATTACAAAAGAATACCCATCTGGTCTTACTTCCAAAGAACCTGTCATTTCAAATTATCATTCAAACAATCTATATACAAGCACAGGGGAACAAGTAATATTTTACAGACTGCTTATCTTTTTGTCTAGCTGTGGGATCTCATTCATTTCCATGGTAGCTACCTTGATTGTCTGTTGTCCAAAGTTTAGATATGTTGACTGGTAGCAGATGGCAGGCACCAACTGATTAGTAAATTGTCATACCATTATCACATCGTATACCTATCATTTCTAAAATATTAAAACATTTTTATTCAAGAAAAGCTCACCACTAAAACCGGAAAGAAGTTCTTAAAGTGTCAAAGGTGGATATAGATCATTTTGCTCATTATAAATGGAGGCTGAAAAAAAAAAAAACATCCTTTGCTCTTTATATCCACAATATTACACAATCTGGCTGTTACTGGTATAAAACATATATATTACAGATCTGCAGTTTAATCGCAGTAGTGTGCTCTGCATTCTGAAAGACACCTTTAAAATAAACATTTCCATTCCTAGTATGCAAAATAAAATAAAACAAAATTAAATTAAAAAATAAATTTCTTCTTGATTAAATTCAGGAAAAATTAATTCACAGTGAAAAGAGACACTTTTATTATTATCTTCAGCTTATTTTCTGATCTGGAACATACTGCAATGGTTCCAAAAACAGATTCCATGCCCTAATTTTCACATTGTATGTGCATTTCATGCATATTAATGAAAAGACAACAGCTTTTAAATGCATGTTTAATGCTTAATGTTTTTTATGACAAAAATGTAGAACAGTGAATGTCTCTTACTGTCACAAATTTAAGGCCATTTATTTTTCCATATAGGATGTCGTGTTCCTCTTTCATTTTTGTTTTTTAGCTGATACAGCCAGAATTCATTTTACGCAACTTTGCGGGCAGATTGGCATCAAGCATTGTTCCCAAGGTCATCATGCCTTGTGCTTTCTTCTGCAGCTGAAGGTTACCAGTAGACTGGGTCATGTTCTCGGGTTTAACCTTGAAGTATTTCAGTGGAGTATTCTCCACACTGTCTTCGCAGGTGGACACCGTTATCCTTTGGATCTTCATGGGAAGGTCTCCAGTACTGCAAGCTCTCTCTACACTACTGCTACACATTCGTAAAAGTTTATCCTGGACATTGTCTCTTCCCCGGCTGAGTTTCTGAAGTTTGCTAGGAAGTATACTGCTTCCCACTTCAAACACATTAAGGTAGTCTAAAGAGCAGACCCTGTCCCTGTTGTACTTTTCACTACAAAGGGAATTTAGAGGTGAACTAGGGGGTAATTTATTTTCATGTTCCTTTACACTATAATAAGGGGTAGGTACTTCAAACGTAGCATGGAACTGGGAGTAGTCCACTCGAAAGAAGCCTTCTTCTAGTGACATGACAGGAAGAAATCTGTGTCCCCACAGTACTTCATCTTCAGTGTAAGATGTTCTTGCCTGGCAGGTCATTCCTGTAAAATAATCAATATCTCATTACATGCATTAAAGACTCTCAAAATAAATAACCCACACTGGTACTACAGGAATCTCTGACTTCAGCCCTTTATAGGGAAAAACACAAGGTTATGAGTTATATACATATAAAAGGACCACCAAAGGTGAGCAGTATGAGAGAAATGATCCATAAAGCGGTTGTTGGTAAGCAACTATGTTGAAGGGAAAATTAATTTACCTTTAATCCAGTTTATATTTAGCCCTTTCATGGCCAGAGGTCATTGCAGCCTAAAAGACCATACCAAATTTAGCAGAATCAGTATGCATTGGTTAACTTGACAATAACTCTATAGGGTCAATTAAAAGTGGTATGGCCTTGTTTTTAGAAAAAATAAAAAAAACAGCATATTTATAAATGTTTCTGGGAGGGGAGCCTGATTACATCACTGACCAGCTCTTTAGTACATTCCAGGCTTTACACAATGGTCTTATTTTTATGAATGTGATGCAGTATGGAGTAACCTTGCAGAGAATATACCGTATTTTTCACTCCATAAGACGCACCTGACCATAAGACGCACCTAGGTTTTAGAGGCGGATATCAAGAAAAAAATATTCTGAACCAACGGACTGCAGACACAGTACAGGAAATGACCGGAGACTGCAGACATAGTACAGGAGATGACCAGAGACTGCGGACATACTGTACTACAGGAGATGACCAGAGACTGCGGGACATACTACAGGAGATGACAGAGACTGTGGATGTACTACAGGAGATGACCAGAGACTGTGGATGTACTACAGGAGATGACCAGAGACTGTGGATGTACTACAGGAGATGACCAGAGACTGGGGACACAGTACAGAGATGACAGAGACTGCGAACATAGTACAGGAGATGACCAGAGACTGTGGTCATAGTACAGGAAATGACCGGAGACTGCAGACATAGTACAGGAGATGACCAGAGACTGCGGACATACTGTACTACAGGAGATGACCAGAGACTGCGGACATACTACAGGAGATGACCAGAGACTGTGGATGTACTACAGGAGATGACCAGAGACTGTGGATGTACTACAGGAGACGAGCCAGCGACTGTGGATGTACTACAGGAGATGACCAGAGACTGGGGTCACAGTACAGGAGATGACCAGAGACTGCGAACATAGTACAGGAGATGACCAGAGACTGTGGTCATAGTACAGGAGATGACCAGAGACTGCGGACATAGTAGAGGAGATAACCAGAGACTGTGGACACAGTACAGGAGATGACCAGAGACTGCAGACATAGAGGAGATGACCAGAGAATGCAGACACAGTACATGAGATGACCAGAGACTGTGGACAGTACAGGGGATGACTAAGAGACTGCAGACCTTTGGGGAGGGAGGGGGAGTGGGTACCTGAATTTGACAGTTGTCCTCCCTTTAGTGTCGGCCGGGTGCCACTGCGCATGCGCGTGAAGCACTGCGCTTTGTGATTGGTCCGGCGTCTTCTTGGACCTGTCATGTGTCCCAGAAGACGCTGTACCATTCACAAAGCGCAGCGCTTCTCGCGCATACGCACTGGGCACCCGGCTGTCACAGCCGTGAGCCCACACTAAAGATACCGGTGCGGGAAGACTGTACAGCGCTGGACTTTGGAACAGGTAAGGTTCTGCTGCAGAGAATAGAAGAGCGGCCGGCCTTACACGGCAGTGGCGGTGGGAATACCGGACCGGACGCTCCAAATTTGCTCCATAGACGCACTGACATTTTCCCCCTTTTTTTGGGGGAAAAAAAGTGCGTCTTATGGAGCGAAAAATACGGTAGCTATCTTCTTTGTTATAATGATTGATTTGGAGATAATGTTGCATTGTTTTTTTAGAACGTATATTTATTTTATTTGGTACACTGGTACATATATGGTCAAAATGTAAAATCATATATTAATTTCCAAATTGAATTTCAATTATTTCTCGCCTACTCATTAATCTGAACCCTCTTGAAGTTTAATCACTTTAATACCAGGCATTTTTATGCCCATTCGGCCCAGGCCAATTTTCAGCACTCAGCACTGTTGCACTTTGAATGATAATTGCACAGTCATGCCACACTGTGCCCACATGAACTTTTTAGCATTTTTTTTCACACAAATAGAGCTTTCTTTTGGTGGTATTTAATTACCAGTATGTTTTTCTTTGTTTCTGCTATATAATTTTACACCATAAACAATCTTTATTCATAAATTTAGGCCAAAATATATTCTGCTACATTTCTTTGGTAAGAAATAACCTAAAACAATGTTTATTATGCAGTGTGCACGAAAGTTATAGAATCCACAAACTATGGTATATATATCTGAAAATCAATCAATCCTGATATGACAGCTTATCTCATTTCTTGAGGCTCAAAAATGTCACAACAGTACAAATATTCATTTTTTTTAACGATTTTTTTTAATACACTGTGACCAGTGCAATAATATGTTACCATAGTAACACTGTACTACTCTGGGGAAGTGATCAGGATTTTTTTAACACATTATGATTGCTTGTACCAGTGAATTTTGCCAGTATAAGCAACCTTTTTTACTCAATGAGATTGATTCTTTCCTTGTGTATTGTTCTGATTAGCTGTGGGGACTCCTTTCATTGACAGCACTTCACTGTGTTTGTGATATTTTTTGTGTTGCAGTGTGATGACTACACATTTTGCAGTGAAAGCTAGTAGAAAACCAGAAGGTTATTTATTTTTATTTTTTAAATATTTTTGAATAGTGTGTGGGGTGTTTATCATATATTCTGTTGTATTCTATTTATTGTATTTTACTCTTCGTGAAATTTGAATTTCGGAAGATGGCTATATTCTAACACTAATACACACAGTCTTTGAAGGAAATCAACAATATTCATCAATATATTTTTGGACACAATTGAATTTCCTTATTTTGGTTTAATTTAAATTTGTTATTATTGTAGTTCAGAAACTTGGATACATCTGAAGCTCCAAACAACAAAAATTTCAGAACGAAGTGAACCACGCATGTCTAATTTTTTATATTCTAAGCAAACTCCCCCATCCATCCATGTCTCCATACTTTATTTTGTTGAGAAATCATTCTGAAAAAAACCCTCAGCAATTCTAGCTGCAGCTATCTTGAGTATAAGCAGATGATTCATGTAGAATTTACTTCCTGGAATCCATCTGCCTTTACTGTAATGTGATGAGAATAGCATGAGCAGTACAATATATCATAGGCTGCTGGTACACTTTGGCAAGGTTAGGCATGCAGGCAGGAGGGTGTGCTTAGGTGAGAAAACCCCTCCTCCGGATGATAGAAAAAAAATTGCCCATGAAGACTCCTTCATCATATTGGTCTAGGCCAGAAAGAAGGAAGTAACTGCTTATTTTATACTTTGTTTTTTATATTTCTTCAAACATAATATACCTTCCAATCGATTTACTAAGTCTAACAGCATAAGAATTAAAATTATTTTAAGTTACATAGTTTGTCTGGCTGAAAAAAGACAAAAGTCCATCCAGTTCAACCATAAAAAAAAAAAGTTATAATCCTATACCCACAGTTAATCCAGAGGAAGGCAAAAACAAAACCCAGAAAGCATGATCCAATTTGCTCCTGCTGGAAAAAAACATTCCTTCCTGATCCCCCGAGAGGCAATCGGATATTCCCTGGATCAACTTTACCTATAAATGTTAGTATCCAGTTATATTCTGTGTATCTAAGAAAGAATCCAGGCCTTTTTTGAAGCAATCCACTGAGCTGGCAAGAACCAACTCTTGAGGGAGTCTATTCCACATTTTCACAGCTCTCACTGTGATGAAACCTTTCCGTGTTTGGAGATTAAATTTCTTTTCCTCCAGATGTAAAGAGTGCCCCCTTGTCCTCTGTGCTGACCTCAGGGTGAATAGCTCTACACCGAGTTCACTATATGAACCACTGATGTATTTATACATGTTGATCATATCCCCCCTTAATCTCCTCTTCTCAAGAGAGAATAAATTCAGTTCCTCTAATCTTTCCTCATAGCTGAGCTCCTCCATGCCTCTTATCAGTTTGGTTGCCCTTCTCTGTACTTTCTCAAGTTCCCCGATGTTCTTTTTGTGAATTGGTGCCCAAAACTGAACTGCTTATTACATACAAGGTCTTTTTTAATGATTTGTACACGGGTGATATGATATCTCTCTCTCTGGAGTCTATACTTCTTTTAATACAAGAGAGGAGTTTGCTTGCTTTAGAAACTGCAGCTTGGCATTGCATGCCATTATTAAACATGTGATCTACCAGAACTCCCATATCCTTCTCCACCATTGATTCCCCCAGTTGTACTCCCCCAAGTATGTATGATGCATGCATATTCTTAGCCCCCAAGCGCATAGCCTTACATTTATCAACATTAAACCTCATTTGCCACAATATGCTCAATTAAACAGTGCATTGAGGTTGGCTTGTAAGTTGAAGATATCCTGTAAGGACGTTATTCCACTGCAAAGCTTGGTGTCCTCTGCAAAGACTGAAATGGGATTTTTAATCCCAGACCCTATATCGTTTATAAATATATTAAAAAATATATTAAAAAGTAAGGGTCCCAACACTGAACCTTGGGGTACACCACTGACAACCCTAGACCATTCAGAGTATGAATCATTAACCATTAGTCTCTGAATACGATCATTTAGCCAGTTTTCTATCAGATTTTTCCAGGCCCGTAGACTTTACCTTACACATTAGCCGTGTGTGGGGAACTGTATCAAACGCTTGGATAAGTATACCACATCCACCCCTCTTTCCAAGGTTTTGCTCACCCCCTCCGAAAAAGAAATTAGATTTGTTTGATGTCTTTCATGAATCCATGCTATCTGTTGCTTAAAATATTTTTTTCCAGCAAGAACTCATCTATGTAGTCTTTTATTAAACTCTCCAGTTCCTTCCCAACTATAGAAGTTAAGCTAACAGGTCTATAATTACTTGGTAAAGATTTTGACCCCTTTTTACATATTGGCCTT